TACAGATGTTCTCTATGTGCCAGGTATGAAAAGTAATCTGCTAAGTCTTGGGCAGTTACTTGAAAAAGGATTTACTATGAACATGCACAAAGGGATGCTTGAAGTGTTTGACTCAATTTGGGAAATTGATATTCAGAGTTCCTATTTCTAGTAACAGGACTTTTCAGGTGCAGATTGCAGCAATTGAGTCTAGGTGTTTAATATCTGAAACTGTTGATCAATCTTGGTTATGGCATTTTCGATTTGGACATCTGAATTTCAGAGATCTGGTCAAACTGCATAATCAAAATATGGTCAATGGCTTGCCCTCTATTAAGTATCCTGATAAATTGTGTGATAGCTGTCTGATAAGTAAGCAAACCAGGAATTCTTTTTCTGGATCTTTAACACCTAGAGCTACTCAATTACTGAATGTGGTTTATTCTGATGTATGTGGGCCTTTTGAGACTGTTTCATTAGGTGGAAATAGATACTTTGTATCTTTTATTGATGAGTTGAGCAGGAGAATGTGGGTTTATTTGATGAAGAACAAGAATGAGGTTCAGAATTTCTTCAAAGACTTCAAAAATCTGGTTGAGAAGCAATCAGGTCACTGCATTAAAATCTTTAGGACAGATGGAGGAGGAGAATTCTGTTCTAATGAAAACTCATGGGATAATACATGAAGTGACAGCCCCGTACACACCACAGCACAATGGCATAGCTGAAAGGAGGAATAGAACTGTGCTAAACATGGTGAGAAGTATGCTGAAAGGGAAGGGTCTTCCTCATAGTCTTTGGGGTGAAGCTGTATCAACTGCTGTTTATATACTAAACAGGTCACCAACAAAGAAACTTAATGATCAAGTCCCTGAAGAGGTGTGGTCTGGACATAAACCTTCAGTTAGTCATCTGAAGATCTTTGGCTGCCTTTGTTATAAGCATGTTCCAGATCAGGTGAGGAAGAAACTGAGTGATAAAGGTGAGCCTATGGTATTTGTAGGCTATAATCCTACTGGATCATATAGGTTTCACAATCCAAGAACTGAAAGAGTAGAGTTGAGCAGAGATGTAATATTTGAAGAACTAAACAGTTGGAAGTTCAATACAGAACAAACCCAATCAACCTCAGCAAGACTGGGATTTGAGTTGGAAGATCTTGGGATATCAAACACTGAAGGAACTGAGCAGGCTGATGCAAATATTCAGTGTAATACTCTCAGACCTACTAGACACAGAATGCCCCCTTTAAGGTTGAGAGATTATGAAGTTTTTAGGGATTCTGAGATAAGTCCTGATGGTGATACTATTTATCTAGCCTTAGCAGCTGATCAGGATTGCATCAATTTTGAAGAGGAAAGGAACCTGTTTGGATTGAAGTAATGAGAGAGGAACTTGATGCAATTAAGAGAAATAAGGTCTGGGAGCTGACAGATCTACCACCTAGGAAAACTCCTATAGATGTGAAGTGGGTTTTCAAGGTTAAGACACATGCTGATGGCACAATTCTGAGACATAAAGCTCGTTTGGTGGCTAAGGGATTTATGCAGAGACCTGGAATAGATTATTCAGAAGTGTTTGCCCCAGTTGCAAGATTTGAAACTATTCGTTTGATAGTAGCAGTTGCCTATCAAATGAATTGGTCACTTTGGCACTTAGATGGCAAATCAGCATTTCTAAATGGGTTGCTTGAAGAAACTGTGTATCTGAGACAGCCTCCAGGTTTCATTTGCAAAGGAAAAGAGCAGCAAGTTTTGAAGTTGAAAAAGGCTTTGTATGGCCTTAAACAGGCTCCTAGAGCATGGAACAAGAGAATTGATTCTTTTTTAGCTGAAGTGGGATTCAGAAAGTGCCAAGTTGAACATGGTGTGTATATTTTACATAGTACGGGAGGAGATATAGTGCTGATATGCTTATATGTAGATGATCTATTAATAACTGGAAGCAATCTGGTCAAGGTGAATGAGTTTAAGGGCAGATTGAAGAGGGAATTTGAAATGTCAGATCTTGGAGAGCTATCTTTCTTTCTTGGTATTGAATTTCACAATACTGAGTCAGGACTAGTAATGCATCAGAAGAAGTACTTGTCTGAAGTACTAAAAAGATTTGGGATGCAGGAGTGTAAGACTGTTGAAACTCCTGTAGAAGTTCACACCAAACTTCACAAATCTGAGAATGAGTCTAGGGTAGATGCTACTCTATACAGACAAATCACAGGTTGCTTGAGGTTTTTATGTCAAAGCAGACCTGAAATCTCATTTGGTGTTGGCTTAGTAAGCAGATATATGGCTGATCCAAGACAGTCACATTTGATTGCTGCTAAGCGAATTTTGAGATACCTGAAAGGAACTCTAAGTTATGGAATTCTATTTCCAAAAGAAATGGTGAATGGAAGTAATGAACACAAGCTGTATCTTACTTCTTATACTGACTCAGATTGGGGAGGTGATAAGGATGACAGAAGAAGTACAATGGGCTATGTATTTTTTCTGAATAATACTCCTATATCCTGGTGTTCAACTAAACAGGATGTAGTAGCATTATCTACATGTGAGGCTGAGTATATTGCAGCGTGCCAGGCAGCATGTCAAGGAGTTTGGTTGATGTCTTTGATCAAGGAGATTAATCAAGAAAGTATGGATGCTTTGGAATTGTTCATTGATAACAAATTAATCAGCTATAAGTTTGGCAAGAAATCCAGTTTCACATGGCAGGAGCAAGCATATAGAGACAAGATTTCATTTCTTAAGGGAACAAGTGAACCGAGGGAGGATTTGTCTGGTTCATTGCAGTACAGAAGAACAGATTGCAGATATATTGACTAAGGCATTGAAGATTGAAAGTTTCAAGAGATTTAGAGACTTATTGAATGTAGTTATGTTTTAGTTGTAATCTGTTTGTGTTTTGAATAAACTAGCTTTTGGTATTAAAGGGGGATGTTAAGTAATACTCCCTCCGTCCCAGGGAGAAGTTCCCGGGTTGACTTTCACACATATTTAGGAAATAAAGTTACTGAGGGGTAAATTTTACTGGTTGGCACTGTTTCGACACTGTTTGGCACTGTTTCGACACTGTATGGCACTGTTTTGCACTGTTTGACACTGTTTTGATGTAGGATAACTTTCCATTTAGGGAAATGGGAACTTTTGGTTGGGACTACCAAAAAAGGAAAGTGGGAACTTCTCCCTGGGACGGAGGGAGTAATATCCAAAAGCTAGACTCAATAATATTGGTATAAATATACCATGTACTGCACTCTTATTCAATACCAGTTATTTTTCCCTCACCTCTCTAAAACACCTTCAGTTAGGTCGTTACTTTCTGTTTAACGCTAACTATCAAATGGCTCAACAAGCTTCAAATGTGGAAAACTCATGGCATTTATGGCTCTCAAGGAATGACCTTATAATCGCTGCTTTTGGATTCACAGTCAAGCTCTCATTGTTGACTCTCATTGTAGTTTTATGTTTAGGTTTCAGTTTATTAATTTAGCTATCTCATAGTTTTCAGTTGAAGATTCGAATATGAGAATCAGTTTCAATGTGAATTGTGAAGTGGGCTTTTTTATAGTAATATTTATCAATGAAAGATGTTCATTACTAAATGTCTTCCATTTTCAATTTTTCATCTTCATATAATATACATATCGTGACAATTGTTTACATATATACAAATATTGAATATGACGATCGGGATTAGCTACTACATCACTAAAACGTAATATCTCACCACGATACTAACTAAAATATTCAATTGTCATTATATATGTTTATGTAGTGACAAGATATTTTGTCATTTAAATCAATTAATATACTGTCACTATATAAGCATATTATGTGATGATTTATGTTGTCACAAAATATGTTACTTTCTTGACGATAAACATTTCATCACTGTTTCTTTTTTTTTCATGACACTTTATACTGTCGTAGTATAATTTTTCAGTGACGATATTATTGTAATGAAATGAAGTCTATTTAATGACGAATTGTTAGAAAACATGACAAAATAAGTAACTTAACCGTGCGTGACGATTTCATTGTCACTACAATTTCGTTCTTTTGTGAATTGTCACTATAAATTACTCCCTACGTCCCGAAAAGGTTTGCCAAATTGACTTTTCTTGGTCAATGGCGATCAACTTTGACGGATCATATTTTTTAATATGAAATTCTTTTGAATATGAAAATTATATCAAAATGATCTTTATTCTAAATATTTTCATAAAAGTATAAAATTTATAGATTACGTAAAAATATAATAATTAAAATCATTGTCCAAAGTTTGCCACCATTGACCAAGAAAAGTCAAAATGACAAACCTTTTTGGGACGGAGGTAGTATGTTTTAATGACATATTAAAATTTTGTCATTTATTATGTTTAGCATATGTGACGAAATTTATACTTTAATAACGAATAACATGGTACAAACGTGACATATTTGACGTCATAAAAAAGGCTCAGTAATGATGACAACGTGCTAAGGCGTCACTAAAACTAAACATAAAATGACAAATTTGAAAATTATCATTTATACCTTTTGCCACGGAGCTACGATGACGATCGCCGTGATGATAAAAATTTGTCATATAACAGTTTTAGTGACAAATTTTAATGTTTATGTGACAAATATTTTCGTCATAAGATGCCAATAACAAAACACCATGTATCAATGTTAATGAAATGGACCTTTTGTTAACAAATATTTCCATGTCGCAAATTTTAATGTTTATGTGACAAATATTTTATCGGCCCTTTCGCTTGTTTTCCACCTCAAAAACTAGACCTTTTGATTATGAGTTGTACTAGGCAATGGGTTTTTAGGGACTCCCATGTCTCAATGTTAATGAAATTAATAAAATGGAGGTAGTATTTTGCATAAGGCAGGTGTTGACGGGATCCTAAAACCTATTTTTACTCCAAATTGCTTTTGACTTGGACACGTTCTAGGCAGCACACATCACCACAAGAAATTCCTACAAAAGCGAATGAAGGTACGTACTATAATACATTTACTTGTTTATTATTATTATTATTTTTACTAATCTTTTTTATTCGCTCCAATCCTTTGATGTCCTCGCAATTGCACTCTACTCAATCAAACAGCTTCGATACATGGCTTGCATGAGGCTTGGCTCTAAATCTGAGGCATTTCACCGTGAAGGTCAATCCTGGTAACCACCATTTTCTAGATTTCTCTGCTAAATCACTCTTAGCCTTAAACATTACATTTGGTTGATCTTAATTGTGATCTATCAGTGAATATAATGGTGAGACCGTCTGTCCGTAACTGCATTACAAAACACCATTCTTTGAAATTCTTAATTAATTAAAACTAGTAGTACATTGCGATGACGGCCAAATACACACTCCTTGAATGAAAAATGAGTTTTGTGTATATTTAAATACACTTTGTATACAATCAAAATGGGTAAAACGAAAAACATGTGTACAAAGATATGAACATGCTTGAAAATAAATGAATTACGATATATGACACAGGAGGGATTTCCTGTTTTTACGCTTGGTTTCAAATCACACACGTCATATCCTATAAGCTTCTTCATTTTTGATTTATTAATTTATAATGATATTTATAACTTGGACATTTATTTAAGTTATTTTAATTTGGTTTAATTAGATGCAGACTTTATATAATCCGTTCTTTATTTTATTCAAGTTTTCTATTTTTAAAATTACCATTTTTATGCTTTATAAAATGTTCAATCTCTAAATTGAAAATGTAAAATTCAGACAATAATTTTGCAAGGTAGGGTGAAAAAAAACTATCGCGCACAAAGCTCCAAAACTGCGGTGCGGCCGAGTAAATAAAAAAAAAGGCTAAAGGGTCAAATAGATACATGAACTAACCTAAAGTGTTCAATTAGCCCCTTATATAGGAGTTTCTGCCCGGACGTCGCCAATTGAGGCGGTTCCCGGTGGAATTTTTTGATGAATTTTTTTGAGCATCTTCTTCATTAAGTCTAGTGTACCCAGACCAAATTTCAGCTAAAAATTCAACTGGGAAGGCAATCGAATGATTTTCTGAAAAATTAAACAGCGCAGTACATTTCGGAAAATAATTCGACTGCCTTCCCGGTTGAATTTTTAGCTGAAATTTGGTATGGGTAAACTAGACTTAATGAAGAAGATGCTCAAAAAATTTCATCAAAAAATTCCACCGGGAACCGCCCCAATTGGCGACGTCCGGGCAGAAACTCCTTTATAAGGGGTTAATTGAACATTTTAAGTTAGTTCATGTACCTATTTGACCCTTTAGCCTAAAAAAAAAGTTGGATGAGAAATGTTTGAACTGTTGTGTGTCATTCCTGCCCACCCCTATCTGTTAGTGTATCTTTATGGATTAAACGAGAGAAGGTATGTTCCATTTTTCTTACGGAGTACTCCCTCCGTCCCTAAATAAACTTCCAACTTTCTTTTTTTGTCTGTCCCAATTAAAATTTTCACTTTCCTTTTTTGGCCAGAATTTGTGGTTCACAGCAATTCTTACACATTTCTCTCTCCTCTACACAACTCTACACCACACAATACCCACTATCTTAAACTCTGTGTCAAACCTATTTAGAAGATATAATAGAGACGGATGGAGTATATTTTATCTTTAGTATGACTTGTGGGGCTCTTCCCTTTCATTAATCTTTCAGGCACTGCACGTCAGGCCTTCCAAGTGATGTTACAATTGAAATCGGAGAAATGTCTTTTCATTTTCACAAGGTAAGAGTATTGCGAATTCTAGTTGGATCAATTGTCCAAGCATAGTAGAACTTTATGAATTTGATTGTTTTATGGGCTGATGAAAACTTTGATTTGAAATGGTCAGTCCCTCCTTATCAATTATATCAAGTGTTTGTAATAATGAAATAAATGTTTGTTTGTTTTTTGAAAGAAATGTTAGTTACTATTATGACACTTTTTTGGGAGGGAATGTAGTCACTAAGCACTTAAACAGTACTAGTTGTGTGACATTGAGGACAACATATTTCAGATTATGCCGATGATTATACAAAAATCAAGATCTTGGGGTTTATACTAATACTAGTAAATTGGTCGCGCTTTGCGCGAACGTCATTTGCCCAACTCTCAATTTTAATGAATTGTGTGAAATGAATTTAACATAAGTATCAATTAAATGTTTAGTTTGGGAATTATATAATATAACATATGTAGTATTAATTTTCACAAAAAATGAGATGCAATTGAATTGGATATCGGTTATCGTTAAACATTATAAACATTGATAAAGTAATTGATGTGTGAATATAAAAAATAGCATTGAATAATAAATTATTATTGATGTGTGAAGCAAGAAACATTATGTTTAACTTTCAATGCTCAATATTGTTATACGAAGTATATAATAGTTCAAAATAGCATTGAATAATGGTCATATACATTTTGTTATAATAAATTTGAAAATTTTGAAAAGTAACAATTCAAAACTTATCAGAATTAATGAAATTGGGACCCACCCCCTACGAAAACGTTGCAAGACCTAAAATAAGCAGGGGAAAATGTTTATGAAAATATATTACTAAAAATTAAATCATAAACTCATAAAGGGATTTCATTCAGTAGGGAATCATGCTAAAATCTTTTAAAGGAGAATAATACGGAGTATAACTTAATAATATAACGTTGATGATCAATATATGATGACAAGAAGGAGATCAGATCGGATGGACTTTGAAATTCCAATAATTAGAGCGTCTTCAATGGTACAATGACATGACAGATAGCCACATAAATATTAGAAAATAATTCTTTCTCTTCGTATTTGAATGTAAATGATTTTATACAGTTTTGGTATGTTTTTCTCCACAATGTCAAGGAGACCGTCTAGATGTTGACATTATTATTGACATTGCAGCCGAAAAACTTACCAAAATTGTATAAAATCATGGAGAGAGATAATTTAATATTTGTGTGACCATCAGTCGTGCCACATGTGCACCATGCACATTATAGTATTGGAGATGCTCTTATACCTACTTCATAAATGTTACTCCCTCCGTCCCATTAAATTCTTCCAACTTTCCTTTTTGGACCGTGCCATAAAATTCTTCCAACTTAGCTTTTTGGAAAAATTGTGTGGCTCACATTCATTTACCTTTTCTTACACAACTACAATCATACATTTTGACTTTATTTCAACTTTCTTAATTTGCGAGCTAAGTTTGATTTGGAAGAATTTATTGGGACGGAGGGAGTAAAATATTAAGTGGTCGTTTGGAGGGCCAAAATCTGACTGAAAAGCATTATTATTTTCAGCCAAAAAACAACTCAAGACCTGCTCTTCCTGCCGATAACGATTATTGTACCCTTAAGTGGGTTGAATTGCTTTTGTTCTTGGATACATATTCGGTTCAAGATGGATGACTTTGATTTTCGGATTGTTTGATGATTTCAAATAAATGCCAAGCTGTACGTGTGTACTTTAGGAGCTAATTGTATGTTTAACTATTAATCTTAACATATAATTGAACAAATAATTACATCTAAAAGGTATAAGAGCTATAAATAACAGTGTACAATACGTATAAGGGTTAAAATAATACTGGTATTTTCAACGTAAAAGTAAAAGTAAGAACAAATTTTCCAAAATGATCAGTAAATTAAGTAATCTTATAATTATCTAATCAAGTAAAAATTATTTGCTTTCAATCAGCCATTTCAACCAACATATATTTAACACAAATAAACTAATACTCTTTATGGTAATTCTACATTCAATCAGTCATTTCAACCAACATATTACCAAACACTTTGCCTTCAGCAGATTAAGTCTTTTCAAACTTTTCAGCCATTCTAACCATTGCAGCCATTACCAAACAAGCCCTAAATATATAGTAATTGATATGAGATGCTTCATGTTCTTGAATGAGCATAAAAATCATGATCTTAAAATGGAATCGATTTATTTCATAAAATAGAGGAGTAAATGTTGAAAAAATTAAAACCAATTACATTCAATGAATTGAAGCAACATTTTTAATTTAACAAATATTACAAAAGAGAAGAGCTAGACTTTAACACCGTTTACTAAGCTTGACGGTGCATTTGATTATTTGACGGGCCAAATAAATCAAACACTCTAATAGCATATGGTACAATGATTTAAAGCTTAATATGAAGGAAATAAGTAAGCAATGAGCATTAAATGAGAAAACCGACCTTTATTAAGATAGGTTAAGAAAATGTGACATCTACTTGGTGTGGAATGTTATTAGTATGTGTGGTATTTGTACTTGGGAGGTAGTGGAATGAGAGAAGAGATAGTGAGTGATGACTACTGAGGTTGTTGTGTTGTGGCTATTAATATTATTTTGTAGTTCCCATTGCTTTCGAGAAGTGGGCTATTGGACAAGCTGATAAGAGAATCAACAACAACTAGCAATGAGGATGGAGCAATGTGCATTTTGCAACTTGGGGACATACCTGGAGGTGCTAAAGCATTTGAGCTAGTGGCTAAATTCTGCTACAACATCAAAATAGAGCTCACCCCTTCCAACATTGTGAGCGTCAGGTGTGCGGCAGATTACCTTCAAATGAGTGAGGAGTACGGAGAGGGGAACTTGATCCTACAGGCAGAGGTGTTCCTCAACGAAGTCTTTGGGAGCTGGACTGATACCATTAAAGCTTTGGAAACATGTGAAGAAGTCCTGACACATGCTGAGGATCTTCACATTGTGTCCAGATGCATAAACTCCTTGGCAATGAAAGCGTGTTCAGATTCAACTCTGCTGAACTGGCCAGTGGCAGAGGCGGCAGACGTATGGAATGGAATAAGCAGCAGCACTGCAAGGCCGCTGCTGCCAGGTGATGACTGGTGGTTTGAAGACGTGTGCTTCATCAGCTTACCATTCTTCAAGCGATTCATCGGAGCGATTGAGGAAGCGGGGATGAACTCAGAGCACATTGCAAGATCCCTGGTGTACTACGCAAAGAAATATATCCCCTTGATGAACAGGCAAGCGAGCTTCAAGGATGCCAGCCAGGCAAAGTCGAGCTCGAAGATTGCGACGCCTTCAGAGACAGACCAAAAGGCACTTCTGGAAGAGATAGTGGAGCTGCTGACGAGGCAGAAAGGGGTTGTGGAAACGAGGTTTCTGCTCCGGCTTCTGCGCACTGCGATGATGTTGCAGACGAGCCAAACATGTCGGGACAGCTTGGAGAGAAGGGTGGGGATGCAGCTGGACCAGGCCTCCCTGGATGACCTCTTGATACCAAACATCGGCTACTCCGCTGAGACCTTGTACGACATTGACTGCTTCCATAGGATTCTTGATCACTTCTTGTTGTTCACGGAGCAGCAGGCTTCGGCCGCTGCCACTCCGACAACGACCATCATGGCGGCGGAGGAAGAGCAGTTGATGGCGGAAAACGCAGATCATCCCTTGACCTGTTCCTCAATTACTACGGCAGCGGGCGGCAACAGCAGTAGGGTTGCCAATTTGGTGGACTCTTACCTTGCAGAGGTGGCACCGGATGCCAATCTCAAGTTCACCAAGTTTCAGTCCCTCGCGATAGCAATCCCTGATTATGCAAGACCACTTTCGGATGGCATCTACCGCGCAATCGACATTTATCTCAAGGTTAGGTTAGGTTAGGTTTATGGATGAATCAATTGATCAATCATTTTTGGAATTGTTTTGCGAGAATTGAGTTCCCTCACTCATTACAACTAGATAGCTAATATTGATTGTATGATGATGACATACCATTTCAGGCACACCCGTGGCTTACGGATTCAGAGAGAGAGCAGATGTGCAGGCTAATGAACTGCCAGAAATTATCACTTGAGGCAAGCACGCACGCAGCACAGAATGAGAGGTTGCCACTGAGGGTGATTGTTCAGGTCTTATTCTTTGAGCAGCTCCGCCTCCGCACCTCCATTTCTGGATGGTTCTTCGTTTCAGAGCACCCCCGCGCGGAGTACAAGGGGGCGAGCTTGGAGGAGATGAGGCAGAGGGTTTGTGATCTTGAAAAGGAGTGCGAGAGCGTGAGGGAGGAAGTGCAGAAGCTTGTGAAAGCTAAGCGGGGTTGGAACATCTTCTCTAGACGAAAGCAGCAGCATTCCAGGCCACCAAAGCCTTGCACTGCCCAACCCCACCCGCTTCACAATTAAAATCACTTCTGCTTTTACTTTTTGGAATTCTTATCCATCAATAATCACTCATACCTAATCACACAAATTCATTGTATCTCTCACTTTCTTAACCAATTACTACGAACTATATTTCATTAAAAAAACTACTAATTCAACCCATACGCGTAATTAATTATGACAGATTATCATAGAGCGAGTGTCAATATGAAACGAATTTCACATATCATCTAAGCTAATTGAACATTTTGTGATAGTTATGTAAATGTACTAGTATAAATAATTCGGATTATTTGAGCACATAACGGGTTTTTACAAAATACGATAGATATTCATACAAATAGCCCGTAACTTTTGATTTCGCCCCACAAAAAGTAAGATTCGAGTTACTTTTTTACTGTATTGACTCAAGTTATTATAGATGATTATTTTAACTATTTCTCAAATAATTTTTTCTTCAATTTATGGATAAAATATATTTTAAATATAATTTTTTCATAAATAAATAAAATCAGTCAATCCAGTCACTTTAACCAGACTTTAATAAATTTCAATAGAATCAGCCAATACAATCGATTTGGTTATTACCAAACAGGCTCAAAAAGTACAAAATATGTCAAAGATTCTCAAAACTTCTTTGTAGATAACATGCATTCTCTTGCCTCTTGTACTTCCATCTTCATGTGAAATCAAAATCATAAACCTCTTGAGATTTTTTTACTCGCGAAGCAACAATGTAAAATTGTCTGTGATTAAAAATTGGTTTTCTCAACAATAAACTAACATGACACAATGATTGTCATCTACTTTTGATTATAGGCATCACATATGGCGTCATAATTAGAAACTGGAATGATAATCTAACATTAGAATGTGTTAATGAAAGTCCCAGAATGAGAACTTTTTGTTCTACACTAATCCCAGTTAAAAAGTTCCCCTCAAGAACGTCATCCCCCAATTTTATTAATATATGTCTTGTGTCATTACGCAATCTCATCGAATGATTTTTATTTCATAATAGCATCACTAAAGTTTGTATTTCAAAGTCAACTTATGGTTTTGGTAGACCAGAAAATCTGATGCTACTCAAAACTTTGGATTGTGCAATTCAGCCATAAGATATGTAGTCGAATCTACTTTGCACACACTATCTGAACTAAGATGTATTCTCACAACTTCCTCTTCATTGAAATTTGTCATATACTCATTTATAGAGTCCCCCACCCTCAGTGTTGTTGCAAGAATTGCACGATTTTGCATAAGTTCAAATCCTTCGGTGACTTATGAAACTCTAGATACGTGCTCTTAACAATTGCAACTATTGAATCCCCTGAAGTGTGAATTAGAAAACGTTGTCAAATAATATGATTTCAAAGAATTCGACATATTTTGCAATTGCATGCTCATAGTCAATCTCAAAACTCTACAATCTGACCACAAATATGAAGAGTTAATCATAGCATTGATGACATTTTGTCTGCTTCCTTGGGGGACGATGAGTAATATTCGACGGGAGTCACCACCAAAAACCAGGGGCGGGCAATTCGGTTTATGATTCAGTTCGGTTAAAAAAAACTATACTTTTATATGTATACTTTGGAACAAGACTCCTTTGTTGCGAGCACGTCTTCAATCTCTTTGCCGTAAGACTTAGTGACTACGGGGTGGTGCTCGGCTTGATAACCCTCTTCCGAGCCTCCATTGTTGCGAGCACGTCTTCAATCTCTTTGTCATAAGACTTAGTGACTACGGGTGGTGCTCGGCTTGATAACCCTTGGCTTGGGTCTTCCTCGTCCTCATGATATGGCTTTAGCATACTTACGTGATGCTGGCAAAGTCGTCTGACAAATTACCACCTATGAGGGAGGTGGATCACAAGATCGAGTTGGAACCACGTGCTAAACCGCATGCAATGGCACCCTCTTATGAGTTATGTCCCCAAGTGAGCTCGAGGAGCTACTTTGCCAACTCGATGAGCTGTTAGAGAACGGGAATATGAGGCTGTTGAAGGCACCTTGTGGCACACCGATGCTATTCTGATGAAGCATGATGGGACGCTAAGGATGTGCATGGACTATCGGGCGCTGAATAAGGCGACTATCAAGAACCGTTATCCTATCCCTTTGATTGCCGATCTATTTCATAGACTTGGTGGAGCCAAGATGTATACGAAGATGAACCTACAAAAGGGTTACTACCAACTACGAATAGTGGAAGGGGATGAGCCGAAGACTGCATGTGTTACATGTTATGGCTCGTTCGAATGTTTAGTCATGCCCTTTGGACTAATCAACGCACCAGCAATTTTCTGCACACTCATGAAAAAGATCTTCCAATGCACTCTTGGCTTGAAACCACTTGACTACATTCAACAATTGACTCATTCTCTCGCTTACACGTATTTAATGTGAGGTCGTATTATATTTGTTTGATTTAACTAAAAAAGTATGACACCCCATCCCTGAGGGCCCCCCAACACCGACCGGACGACACGATGGGAGGATGTAAATTGGACTATATTCACAATCTGATAGATAGAGAGTGGAGCTCCGTCCCCGGTACTTGCAGAGGCCCTATGCATTTTTAGCATGGTAACCTCTCATCGTAGTTGTCGGGATTCGAACGCGGGACCTAACCCTTGTGCCACTCCCTCGCTACCAGTTGAGCTACGCCCACCGGTATTTGTTTGATGTAACTAAAATTAAGTAATTAACATATTCTTTTTTAATGAATTTTATCATATTCGTTTAAAATTTATATTATTTCTTTAATGCAATTTTAATTAATAAATTCTTAATTTCATATGTGCATTTAAAAAATTAAGTTCAAGTAAAAGTTATAAAAAAAAATGTAAGTTGATACTAGTATACGCTATTCAAGAATAATTTAAAATAATTCTGCACAAAATAAAATATAAAAATAAATAAATGTCATTCTAGGTGTAATCTACTTCGGACTTAAAAAAACTTATGTTATGAATATCAAAATCATGTATTTTAGTGTTGGTATATTTTATTTTTTGTACTATTCAGTGTAAACAAATCATGTAGTTTTATATATTTTAGTATTTTACAGTAATAATACTTCCTCCGGTTTTTAAAAGTTGCAACATTGAGATTTCTGTACTATTCACATACTTAACTTTGACTACGATTTTCTAATAATATACATAATCAAATTATTATGTATAAAATGTTATTAAATTTATATTAATGTAAATTTTCAAATATTAACTTTTTTAATGTTTACTAATAAGTAATTAAATATAAATAATGTCAAAATTGTGTGTTGGTGAACATGAAAGTCAAACTGTTGCAACTTTTAAAAAACGAAGGATGGTATAAGATTTTTATTAAATTAGTGGTGAGTTAGAGCTAGCCTATCATGACATTTATTTGTTTCATATTTTATTTAGTGTAGAATTATTTAATAAAAATTATTTGGATTGGGTTTTATATTTAATTGCATATCTCAAAATAAATATTTTATCATATTCTCTAACTATTAAATTGGTACACTATTGCACTTAAATATATATCCCGTCTATATTGAATACTCGTAAAGGAAGCATTGTATCAACGGTTGAGAGTAGCCCAATGCTCTGCGTGTGCAGTAGATTGGTTCAAGTAGGTCGATGGTGTTTGATCCATTGCTACTCCATTTTTTTATACTACCTCCGTCCTACCGGAAGGTTCCCATAGTAAAACGGCACGGTTATTTAGATGATAATTAAATAAAGTACTTCAGGTATATTTTGAAAAATAATTTTAATAGGTATATATTATAATGTGTTAGTATTGATAATAGTGATGTTATAAATGTATTATTTTTAATATTTAATGACTAATTTGTCACTCAAGATTGTTAATTATTTCCTAAAAGAGAAATGGCAACCTTCTAATGGGACGTCCAAAAAAGGAAAGTGGGAACCTTCTAACGGGACGGGGGAGTATTTTATAGCACACTCTAATGAGATAAACATAAAATTGTGGATGACATGGAGTGGCCTGGTGCATTTCCTATACCGTGGTGTCACCCCACGGTGAGCATTGTGCTCCTACACCCAAAACGACGTAGTTTTGCACAACTTAAAAAAAAAAAACGCATGAACAGTAACACGTGAACAGTACACGTGTCAACAGTAATTGCTTTTTGTCCCAATAGTATGAATGATGTAACTCGCATGTAAAGATATGTAATTCACGTTATTGATCAATGTAACTCAAGTCCATTCGAAATGTAAGTTATCAAATACATAATATAAGAAATAAAACATTGATTTCAATGTAAACAATGAAAAAGAGAGTTTAGTTGCATAATTACTTTATGTAAACCGTGAATATGTTTGATTTTTAATATCATGACCAGATAAAGGATTTTAAAGAAAATCATTTTTTTTGTTTGAATACCAGAAGTTGTTTTTTCATGTAACTCATATTATTACAAATGTAACTCACGCTTCAGAAGATGTAACTCGCTTCTGAAAAGATGCAACTCTTGCACATGAAGATGTAACTCGCATATTATAAAAACATGTAATTCCATATGTATTAATTAATACTCCGTATACATATAAACCAATTACTCCATATGCACCGAAACCAATTATTCCATAAAAGAGCAGTAAGCTTCCCTTCCGTGATTCTTTCCACAAAATCAAAGAGCACCTATTCTTCGGCAGCTAACGGAGCTTTCACTTCAAGGCTGGGGTGTCAATTCACGATTCAAAGAAGCGAACAGAGAATTTTTTTTGATTGGTTGGGGACTGTGCTGCACGAATCTATATCCAACTGGGGCTCCGATGATTTTCCATGTCTCTAAATTGAATCTGTGAAGGAGGAACGGCCCGCCTAACAGTTGGGAAGGAAGAAGATGACTTTTTTTTTATTTAAACGGTGCCGCTTAGGGACCGGCACACCGTGCTCACTGTGGGTCGATCCCACGGTATAACCTGCGGGCCCGGTGGATGACCTATAATAGTGATGTGGCAAAATCGGATGACATGGCAAAAATTACACAAATAACTATAAAGTACTCTTGGGAAATAAGATTTTAAACTACCCCTATTTGGGAAACGCTCGTCCTTCGGGCACCTTCTAAACGACTAGGCGCACCTTTTTTATTCCACTAATGGACTGATTTGTCCTCCTATAGTCTTGCTCACGAACCTGATGAAGCGCACCACTTCTAATGCCTATCAAATTTGTCCTCTTTCCTAAATTGAATCCTAAGGATTTACGTATTAATTAAAAAAGGAGTAAAGGGTCAGTTTGGTACTCGAAGTTGCAAAAAAGAGGTCAAATAAGTCCTTATATAGAAGATTCTGTCCGGACGTGCCATTTGAGGTGGCTCCCGATAGAATTTTTTGATGAAATTTTTTGAGCATCTTATTCATTAAGTCTAGTTTACTCATACCAAATTTCAGCTAACAATTCAATCGGGAAGACATTCAAATGAATTCTTGAAGATAACTGCGCTTTTAACGACACAGTTATCTTCAAGAATTCATTTGAATGTCTTCCCGATTGAATTTTTATTTGAAATTTGGTATGAGTAAACTAGACTATGAATAAGATGCTCAAAAAATTTCGTCAAAAAATTCCACCGGGAGCCACCTCAAATGGCACGTCCGGGCAGAATTTTCTATATAAGGACTTATTTGACCCCCTTTTTGCAACTTCGAGGACCAAACTGACCCTTATCCCATTAAAAAAGCATAATGCACTCATTGCCTTTTGTTTAACTTCTTTCCTAAAAAATAATCACGTTTAATATACGGAGTACTTACAATCCTAGATTTTGTAACATAGTACTTCGTATAATACTCTCATACATACTCCCGTAACAAATTTCAACCTAACTACCATCATAATATTATCTTCTTATACAATGGATACAATGGAGGATGAATATGAAGATTACCTAGACAACTCTTAATATTTTATTTGTCTAAAATTGTTTCATATTAAATATAAACAAAGTGATTTTTTAATCATGTTTAAATTTTACAGTGTAATGAATATTTTCAATTCAACGCGTTTTGTCTCATTCCAGACTATATTATATCCGACTTAAATATTAGTAACAATGTACTAGATTAGATCAAATCAGATTAGAATTAGATGAATCTAAATACTTAGACTTTTTAGATGAAAAAAAATTGTGCTTGAAAGTCGAGAAAGTATGTTTTAGTTATTATTTTAAGAGGTTTTCCATAAAATATTACTTCAAAAAATGTATGGACAAAAATGTGATTATAAGTTACTATGTGTAAGTTTTATAATCACTATGATGTAACATTTTAATACAGTTATACTCACTAAAATTACCATAATCGCATTTTTGTCCACTACTTTTACTTTGTTTCTTACGACGCGGAGGGAGGGGGAGTGAGGGAAGCCTGGGATAAACAGGGCAGAAACTCGTTCAATTGAGTTTAGGCCTGAAAAAAATGGGTTTAGGCTGGGCTCGGGCCGGACCTTTTACTATTTTTTTGCCCATTCTGTGTGGCCCGGCTCGCAAAAATGGGCCTAACTGGTGATTACGACATGGTCTTACCATCACAACGCTAGTGTTACTGGATGGGATATGCCACTTCTTCATCGAATTAAACAATTTAGAGAATGTCGTAACATTTTAAGAGAATCTGTTAGAATTGTATTGGATGACTGATATACCTTATATATAAAAACATGAATGTTTTGTTTTTCGGCCTTTTTATTCCAATATTACTAAAATTAATGAAAAAGACAAAAATGTAACTTATTTTAATTTCTTACCAAAAAGTAACTAAAAGTCAATTGTTTCTTATATTTAATTATACATTTATTATTTTAATTAGCTGTAAATAGTTTCCAGCCACCAGCACCTACGTGGCCGCCCGACCACAGCATCGCCGTCGCCGGCACCTCCACCTCCGCCAGCACCTCCGCCGCCGCCAGTCACTATCTTAGTGACTCCGGCCATAGTGACTACCCGTCACCGGTTGTAGTGACTGCCTACCGGTCACAGTAACTGCCGCCGCCACATCAGTGACCGCCACCGCCTCGTTCAGTGACTGTCGTTGCCCTTATCAGTGACTGCCGCCGTCACTCTTAGTGACTGTCGCCGCCTCTCATAAGTGTCTGCTACCGCCGCCCCCTAGCCGGTGACTGCCGCCCCACCCTCAAACTAGTCACTACTCACCAGCCTGGCCCTATCGCTGCACAGTACAATGACACCGCCACCCCACGGTGACACCGCACCGCCCTAGCACCGCCATCGCGAACCACCACCCTGGCCCCCAGCCACCTTTCCTACCCCATCTGACTCCCCATCCCGACCCAAGCTCCCACACCCAGCCCCAGTCTCATCTCCTCGGACCTCCCCTGCCCAACCACCCCCCATCCGCTAAACGTCTCACCCCAGCCCACCAGATCTGGAAAAAAAATCAAAATCCTTCTAATTGGATCTGGAATTTCAATTATTGGGCGGTGGAGGCGAATCTACAGCGGCGAGGTGGCGCCTGCTCGAGCGACGACTGCGAGAAAAAAAGGAGTGGAAGAAGAAAAGAGTATGGCAGCAGAAGAGGCGGGACGGCAGTTGAGGACGCGCGGCGAGGAGCGGCGGCAGCCTGTGCGGCGAGGAGCGGCGGTCTAACCATGCGGAGATAGGCTCATACTCTATCCCGCTAGTTACCTTGATCGTTGATGAAAAGCTGAGATGGGCGTAGATGTTGCCGCAGGTCGCGTAAGTTCACGCTCAAGTCATATTTTTGGGAAAATCCAAAACTGGAATCTTTTTGTCTTTTAAAAGGCTAGGGGTTATAGCCGTGCCATTTTTTCTACTCATTAAAGGCTACATGGGCTTGGCCCAATTAAACAACTAATACTAACGCTTATGAGCCAGCTGGCCCAACAAACAAATAAAGAATCCTGAACAGTTTCAACTAATCGGGCTATGTCCTAGGCCTGGTCAGCCCCATGCTCGGGTCTAATGGGCCGATAGTATTGGACTTGGACCATTATCCCATCAAATTAGATAGAGAAAAGTGTCAAATAAGTCCCCCTACTATTACGAAAATGTCAATTAAGCCCATGAACTCAAATATCACTCAATTAAACCTAAACGAGTCAAATTGTCTTTTTTACAGGTAACCTCTCGGTATCCGATTAATTGATTTGATTTGATTTTTACGGTTGGAGTACTTAATTGGGTGTTATTTGAATCGGTGGGTTTAATTGACATTTTTCTAATAGTAGGAGAATTTATTTGACACTTTTCTCAATTAGATATTATATTAAATCTGAAAAGTCAAGTTCAAATATACTACGGAGTAAGAAATATGAAATACGGAGTAGATACCATGATACTAAAATTATTTAAATAGATTGCGTTAACAATGTATAAAAACCATCCATAAATAAATGTACTAGTATAAAACCATTAAATAGGGAGGCAGGAATAATTAAAATAAGAAAACATGGTAACGTAACGTTTCTTTAATTAATTAATGTGGTCGAATTCGTTTTAGTTGAGTTTAATTTCTTCTCCTTCTTCCATCAATTGCTGTTGCCATTTCCATGAATTTCTCTAGCGGCCACCCCCATAGTCTTATTCTTCTTCTTCTTCTTCCACTCTGTGTTTTTAAGCCCGGCATACATTTTACGAAGACCGGCGAGCCGCTGTGACTCTTGATATATAAGGTCATTTGTGGAGGTATTCTGGCTGAGGATGATCGAAAGTCCGTCCTGGTAATTAGGCAAATCTTCGACCATCATTTGCCAGAACAAGCTGCCGGACGCCGCACCTCCGGTCTTGGCGGATGAGTATACGGCGGCGTAAGCGGTCCTCATGAAATTGTCCCTATACATTTGCGACGGTGAAATCGGGTTCATTCGCATCCTTGCCAAACTCGCCTAAGAGCATAGGTTTCTGAAGAGTCTTCTGTGCGTCATTGAGGTGGACTTCAATCCAATCTTTCAGAAATTTCACTTGTTGATTATAACTTCTTGAAGCATTGCTCAACCTCCACAACAAAAGGGCAAAGTTATAATGAGTTTTATGGTCTTTAAATAGTGATTTTAATTAAGAACTATACGAAAGCAAGTTCTCCCACATCTTTTTGACTTTTTCTTTCTTAAAAATACATGAGTTTTGTGGTCTTTAAATAGTGATTTTAGGGAGTATATGGAAGTAAGTTCTCCCACATCTTAGCCTTTTGACTTTCTTTCTTAAAAATACATGAGTTTACCGGCGGAAGGCTTTTAAGTCCATTTGAAGATGCAAACCATATAATAGCTCCGTCACATTGGAAATTGTCTGCTTTGATTAAGGTCTGGATTAAAAAACTAAAAAGAATGAAATTTTCGGAAATAGGAGTGAAAACTTCTGAGAATTCCAAAAATAGGATTGTTATATTTCTTATTTTCTGAGTATATGTAATTATTGTCAAACTCGAAAAATTCGATCATGTAAAAAATTGTGTGATTAAGATTTGATATATCCCTCAAGTTTCGGAAAATACTACTCCGTGTATCATGTTTTGACTAGATGAGCGAGGTTCTACCTCACATGGAAAGATGTGGTGTCATTTGTTGTACACTATATTGATCACATCATATATATATATTTCATATATATATATATTAATATATGATGTCATTTTTTAAATTTTGAATCTACCTATAGTCGTATACATGTAGAAACAATTTTTTTCAGTGGTTCAATTGACATGATACTCTTATACTCCGGTTCACATTCTTCTTTACATTTTGACTTCACAGTTTTTAAGGAAATAAATTTGACTTTACTGTAGAGTACACTGCTTGGCACTGTTTGGACACTGTTTTGCATTGTTTGAGCACTGTTTGGCACTGTTTGACACTGTTTTGTGTAGATTTGTATGTCAAATAAGACAAATAAGGAAGTGTAAAGATGATTCTGGGACGACCCAAAAAAGAAAATGTAAAGAATAATGTGAACCGGAGGGAGTAGATGATACGGCGTCATTGCTCAATAAACTAACTTTGTGCGTAAAAGATAAATATCATACTCCGGTTCTAGTATAAACTACTCCATACATACTATTTGGCTTAAAAAACAAGACAGAATGGTAAAGTGTTACTTCATATTTTTCACGTATGATTATAGAGATTTGAGAGTTCAAAATTCAAACTATAAAGACAGGGGTGGAGCCAGGGAGGGTCAGGGTGATCAACCACCCCCCTTGAAAGTTCGAGAAGATAGAATACTGAAATACTTTCAATTTGATATATTATGTCTCTCGAAACTCAATATGACTAAAAAGTTATGACTCCTGAAAATAATCACTATTTAAACTTGAAATTACTAAAATTTGATGCAAAATATTGATTTTATTCTCATAAATTTAAAAATATCGTCTAATAAAGGCAGGGGTGGAGCCAGGGAGGGTCAGGGTGATCAACCATCCCCCTTGAAAGTTCGAGAAGATAGAATACTGAAATACTTTCAATTTGATATATTATGTCTCTCGAAACTCAATATGACTAAAAAGTTATGACTCCTGAAAATAATCACTGTTTAAACTTGAAATTACTAAAATTTGATGCAAAATATTGATTTTATTGTCATAAATTTAAAAATATCGTCTAATTCACTCATTACTTATATGAAGTATATAGTGTGTATGACATGTATGATCAAGCTTATAATTTGTAAGTCTCATTTAAACATCATTTATCTAAACTATATGTTGAATATTTAACTCATGAATTGTTTAAAAACGATCTACCATTTTTATTTTGTATTTAGTTAGATTTAGGCTCCTTGTATCGTTATTCTGGCTCCACCACTGTAAAGGTATTGAAATGAGTAGAAAATGTAAAAGGCACATATAAAGTATGGTAAATAATGAAATAGTAGGATCAAAGTGTCAATTTGATTTAGGGGTAACTTGAGTTTGCATCCTATTTTAATGTCCAAATTAGACTTTGCACTCCGATTTTGAAAAACTTTGTATTGTCACCTCAACCTCGTATGAAAAGATAAAAATGTCCCTCCATTAACAATTTTGTTGGGCTTCAACATATTCCTGATCTAGGGACAATTTTGTCTTTTCATACAAGGCTGGGGTGTAAATACAATTTTTTTAAACGAGGTGCAAAGTCTAATTTGGATAATAAAACGGGGTGCAAACTCAAATCGCTCCTTTGACTTACTAACTGTGAGAAGCTTGGAAGTTGAAATCTTAAAGTGTCTAGCAAAATAGTTGAGGACTAAAAATGAAAAAAATATTAATCTAAGTAAAGCTTGGCACAACCGATGAAAGATGATCAATGTCTTCTCTGATTTTTTTTGGCTTGTGGCTTTGTGTGAAACGACTGAAAGTACTCTTGTAAGTAGTCGATGGAGTGTAGTATGTTTAAGGCTAAATTAGTAATTTGAAATAATTTTATTTATTTAAATTTATTTAAGTGAATGTGAGTACTACAAATTCACGGACGTGAATAAAATTAATCTTATACGGAGTAAATATTTAAGGAAAAATTGCATTTTTGGTCTCTCAATTAGTCATCATATTGAAATGTCAGACACGTGTTTATGAAGGTTGTAAATGTCACCCTGAATTGACATATGTATTGTAAATGTCATCCCAATGAATTTATTGGTAGTTCGGAATTATAGATTAATTATAAATGACTGAGATGACATTTACAACACACATATCAAACACGAGATAAATTATATGGGGATATTTATAATCTCAAAAATACAGATATGACATTTCAATATGATGATTAATTGAAAGATCAAAAATGCGATTTTCCTTTTTAAAAATTTACAATTGGCCCATTGCAAAAAAAAAAAAAAAATCTGGCCCAGTGCAGTCGTCCTCTGTTGTGCATTGCCCAATCCAATACATGAAAGAACAAAAGGATGAACGGAAGAAAAACGCAAAGCAGAGGTCGCTCGCATATAGCCAGTAGCAAGGAGCCAAGTCAGCGAAGAACGCAACACCGCTCTCCGGACGCCGACGGCCGCTGGTTTCTCCCCTGCTCGCATCTCCGGACGCCACACGGCACTTCGTGCCTCGGCCCGGCGCTGCCGAGTACTGCTCGGCTGCTCCTAGCCTCCTAGTCTGCTTATCTGGACTCCGGCTAACTGGCTTCTGCTTCTCAGTTTCTGGGACTCCCCCGGTTTTGGAAATTTGGCCTTCTGCTTCTCTCAGGTAAGTATTTCTATGATTATTTTCTATTTTAATTTTTAATTTAAGTATGTTAGATGTTATTTTAATTTGTGATATTGTGTGATTTCATTCATTTGTGTGATTTGAATTGTGAAATGGAAAATTAGGAATGTGATTTGCGAATTTTTTTAAGTATTGATATGAATAATGTTACTCCCTATTTAAAATAAAATATTGATTTTTTTAAAGAAAATAAAATATTGATAAGTTTATATTTAAGTAGGTATGGCTACCCAATTTACTTCCGAACAGGCAAAAACAACATTGCTTTCGTTTTATAGGTCTACTACAAGTACCAAAAACAGATCAAAGTTAAATCTCTCAATTGAAACTCCAAATATTTCATCCGTTAAAGAGTATTTAGTTTCTGGTACAGTGGTACACTTGAAATTGAGCGGGATCCGGGAAAACAGAAGAAAAAAAAAAGTGATTGGGCATTAGAGTAAAATGATGAAATCAGACAATCTTATTTGATGCTTGGACCGTATCAACTGAAAGTTTTACAAAGGCCAAGAATACAAAGATAAGATACGTCGTTTTCAAACTACTTGGTTCGTCGTTTTCAAACTACTTGGTTCAACAAATTTAAGTTGTTGGAATACTCTCCAGCAACACATAACACATAGGCCCTGTTTGTATTTCGGCGGTTCACAACCTAAATGCTGCATTTTGCAGCGTTTTCTATTGTAAAAAACGGCGTTCAGGGAGTAAAACGCTGTTACCCAAACGAGCTCATAGATGAGTTTTCCATGGTCAAAGAACGCCGCGTTCAGTTAACGTTTTAGTTTCACATATTGTATATAATGTTTAAAAATATTGTTGTGAATATTAATGGATTTAAATCATTATGTTAAAACTGTTTATTCTTTTCAATTTTTTACGTAGTGTGTTTAGTTTGTAATTGCTCCCTGAACATCCTCCCTGATTACGCCCCTTGTTTGAGAAAAATCGTAAAAACAATCCATACACGACCAGACACTCCTTTCCTATGTCAAAACAAGGCCGCTCCATATCCTGCAAGCTGCCGCTGCCTTCTTAAAAGGAAGAAAAACAATTGCCCTGTCTGTAATATACTTAAGTGATTTTTTTAGTAACAATAATTTTGTACACTTTTCAATATTATATTCATTAATTGAAGGAATAATTAATTAATAGATTTAGAATGTGATGTACACACATTTGAATTATATAAAATTATTAATTTCAGATAGGATTAGTAAATAAAATCTCCATATTTTATAGGGAAAAGTACAATAAAGGTACTTGTGGTTTGGGCCATTTTCAAATAGGGGCATGAGGTTCATTTTTTCACAAAGTAGAGCATGTGCTTTCACTTTTAGGGTTTCCATCGAAACGCCATCAGAAAAAAAGGTGACATGTCACCTTTTTATACATCCGCGTTGCCTTCTTTTTGACGGCGTTTGGACCGAAACTCTCAAAAGTGAAAGCACATGCCCCACTTTGTGAAAAATGAACCTCATGCTCCTATTTGAAAATGGCCCAAACATCAAGTACTTTTACTGTACTTTTCCCCATTTTATACATTAATAATGTATTCAGTTAACCACCTCGCACCATGAAGAAGAAAATCATGACTGATCTATCGGCATGATATCAAGATTGCATTTTAGAGGCATTGACTTTACAGTTCATAAAGAACACAATTTTATTGTACTTCACCTTTGATTCCGTTCAAGAAGCAGGCTAGCAGTTCTATTTCAAAATTGCAAAAATGTCAGGAATCGTGACTCTACCGGATTCCTTTATTATTTTGAGCAATTATACTAACTTATTATCTCCGTGCCACTAACATTGGGACACGAGGAGGTGGCACGATTATTAAGCAAAAATGGATTTATGTGGTTAATATTGAATTGATAAAGTAAGAATGCTTTAGAATCATACAAGTTTTACCATATTTGGTATGGTACAATCTTAGTGGGACAGACCGAAAAAGAAAGATGGGACAACCATAGCGGGACGGGGGAGTACGATATGGGGAGTACGATATTATATACAATTCGATTGATAGTATTAATATGGATTGTGAAATCACGCAATTTGCGATGCACTTGAAAAACCATGTACGACGGTTCTATACTCATTTCGATCTCATGTTTCAAACAAAATAGTAATTTTATATCAACTACAGCTTTAATTTTATTGTGCACTATGTCAGTGGTTCAACCACCGGAGTAAAATTTTTAAATTAAATTAATGCATGGACAGTAATCCCAAGTACTCGGTCGTTCCCCGAGTTGCTACCGAGTAGTGATTTAACTACTTAAGTGTTTAGAACATGGTATTATTGTGTTTGAGTACAAGATATCATGTAGAATTAATA